TTAATAGAGAAAAAAATTTCCTGTGTTTAAAATTTTAAATTTTTGAATTTTTTTAGCTAAGTTCATCGAACGTCAAAATTTTTTCAGATAATCTTCGGAATTCTTTGCTCCCCCCTAAAACCTTTTGGAAAATCTTTTTATTCTTAAAACGAAGCTAGGACAACTTTAGTTAATAAAGAAAAAAAATTGAGTTTTGTTCCTTTTTTTAGCTAAGTTCATCAAACGTCAAAATTTTTTCAGAAAATCTTTGGATTTTTTTGCTCTCTTTTAAAACCTTTTGGAAAAATTTTTTTTACAACCGCGGAGTACACTAAAATGGTGGAGTTGTACTTTGCGAATGAGAACAATGCATCAGAGGCCAGTAGAGCATATGCTGCAAATCATCCTTTAAACGACACTTGGCCGTCGGATAAAGTAATATCTGCAGCAGTTGAAAGATTTCGAAGTACAGGAAACGTTAATGTTGATAAAAAGGGAAAATGTGGACGACCACAAACAGTAAGGACACCTCAGAATGAAGAGAGAGTTGTTGAAATGGTCGAAAATAATCCACAAATTGGAATAAGAGGCCCTGCAGAACAACTAGGTATGGCTTATGGGTCAGTCCAACGAATTTTAAAAAGAGAAAAATGGCACGGCTATCATCCCACTCGTGTTCAAGAGTTAAAAACTAATGATCCGGAAAACCACGTGGCGTTTGCCCAATCGATACTAAGAAGAATTGAACAAAATCCAAATTTTCTAAGTAAAATACTCTTTACCGATGACAGCACATTCGGAAACGATGGAATTTGGAACACAAGAAATTTCCATCATTATGCTCAAGAGAATCCACATTTAGTGTCAGAGAGGGGTTTTCAAAACCGATTCAAGTTAAATGTATGGACTGGCATGATCGAAAATAAGTTGGTAAGAATGACAATTTTTTAAATTAAAAAATATAAAATGTCAGCAAAAAATTTTTTCCAAAAATTTTCGTTTAAATTTCCGAACGAAATTCGTACAAATTTCGAGCGAATTAATTTTGAAAAATGTTTAGAAAATTCCGCACGGAAATACATACATATGGAATTCCGCACGAATTATTAGCTAAAAATTTTTGAAAAAAGTTTTCGTCAAATGTCCATACGAAATTCGAGAGAATTAATTTTGGAAAATTTTAAAAAATTTCTGCTCGGAAATACGTATGGAATTCCGCACGAAATGTCAGCTAAAAAAAAAAATTTTTGTTTCAATTTCTGAACGAAATTCGTACGAATGTAGCTGACATTACGTGCGGGATTCCATACGACATTCCGTTCAAAATTTTCTAAAAAATTTCAAAAATTAATTCACTTGAATTTCATACGTTAATTTGAACGAAAATTTTTGAAAAAAAATTTTCGGGTATTATTTGTACGAATATTTGTACGAAAAAACGTTTTAAAACGCCGCACGAATTTCGCTAGTAATTTCATACGAATTCGTACGAATCATTTTTACTTGTGAAAATTAAATTTTTAAAAATATTTCTAAATCATTTTTGACAGACAATAGTTTTACTATTACATTCAATTAAAAAATGTCTAAAAAATTTTAATTTGGAAAAGTCTTTTAAAAAAGTAATTTAAATTTAGTAAAATGTTTTAAAAATAATTAAATTTAAAAAAATATTAAAAAATTTATCAAATTTTATAAGAATTTTAATAATTATAAATAAATTCTCAAAAATTTTAATTTACTTTGTTCGAATGTAATTGAATCTTAAAAAATACTTATAAAACAATTCTAAAAATTAGTTTTTTATAAATATTGGAATTTAATTTTTCGAAAATAATTGAAGAATTTTTTTTAAAATAATTTTTAAAGACATTTATTTAAAAATGTTAAATATGATTATTTTGTCCAAAATGTTTAAAATAATTCAAAAAAATTATAATGTTATTAAATTGTTTTTGTGTATGTATTTCAATTTTCAGAAATATTGAAAATATTAAATATCGAAAATAATTCATTTTTAAAAAAACAAAAAAAATTCATAGAATTACAAAACTTTTAGTTTATCAAAACTATTTTAATATAAGTCGATAAATTTTATTATTTATAAAAATAATTTCATTATTTTATTTTCTACTTATAGATTGGACCGATAATAATCCACGGTAACATGCACTGAAAAAAAAATTCGGCAGAATGTGCTTTTTACTCAGGCAATTTTTGCCTAAGAACAAAAGCAATACACGTAAAGCAATTGTTTCTTTTAAAAAAAGGCAATTTTTGCTTTTAAAAAAGGCAAAAATTTTAACAAAGGCAATTTTTACCTTTTTTAAAGGCAAAAATCGCCTTTTTTTAAAAGAAACAATTGCTTTACGTGTATTGCTTTTGTTCTTAGGCAAAAATTGCCTGAGTAAAAAGCACATTCTGCTGAATTTTTTTTTCAGTGTGGATGGACCTAAATATAATCGGCTCTTAAGAACGATTCGACGTAAACTTGTAGGGAACAATAAAAAGTAAGATTTTTCGACATACTGTGCCTAATATTAATGTTATGCGCAGAAGAATATTTACAGCTGTAGAAGAAATAATAATTATAATAATAATTTTTTACTTACGTTGATTTATTTATGAATTTGAAATTGATTTTGAATTTGATCCCGTTTTTTTGCAATTGATACTAATCAGGGTGTCCACCTTGCGGGAAATATCATTTTCAAAAAAAATTTCGAAAAAATCAATTATTTAACAAAATTTTTATACAATTCTTCACAATAATTCAATTACTTTAACTAATAATGATATTTGTCATGTAAATCACAGGATTTCAATTATTTTAAATAAAATTTTGCAGAAATTGTTCAAAAAATGTAATTAAGTATTCTTAAAAATTAATTTCAATTCATCGAGAAAATCAATTATTAAAAAAATACATTTTTTTAAATTCTTTGAAAATTATTGAAATTAAATTAAAATTCTTTATTCAATTATTTACGAAAATATTATAATTTTCCACAGGAATGTTATTATCCCTTTAACGTCCAGCGGTACATATGCTGTACCATAAAGAATAAAAAACCTATCTTCAAATAGGGATAATATATTTAATTACAAATTGATATCTAGGGGTTTTCGCGGTCGCTGATTACGAATCTGATGTCAGATTTTGAAAATTCAAAATGGCGGATCCAATATGGCGTACCAAAAAATTAAAAATTTGATGGATTTTCATGAAACTTGGTATGTAGGGGTTTTCGAGGTCCCTGATTACGAATCTGATGTCAAATTTTAAAAATTCAAAATGGCGGATCCAATATGGCGGACAAAAATATATAATTTGATGGATTTTCATGGAACTTGGTATTTAGGGGTTTTTGAGGTCGCTGATTACGAATCTGATGTCGGATTTTGAAAATTCAAAATGGTGAATCCAATATGGCGTATCGAAAAGTTTAAAATTTGATGGATTTTTATAAAACTTTGTCTTTAGGGGTTTTCGAGGTCGCTGATTACGAATCTGATGTCAGATTTTGAAAATTAAAAATGGCGGATCCAATATGGCGGACGAAAATTTACAATTCGATGAATTTTCATGGAACTTGGTATCTAGGCGTTTTCGAGGTCGCTGATTGCGAATCTGATGTCGGATTTTGAAATTTTAAAATGGTAAATCCAATATGGCGGATAGAAAAATTTAAAATTTGATGGATTTTTATGAAACTTAGTATGTAGAGGTTTTCGAGGTCGCTGATTATGAATCTAATGTAAGATTTTTAAAATTCAAAATGGCGGATCCAATACGGCGGACGAAAATTTAAAATTAGATGGATTTTCATGGAACTTGGTATCTAGGGGTTTTCGAGGTCGCTGATTACGAATCTGATGTAGGATTTTAAAAATTAAAAACGGCAAATCCAATATGGCGGACCGAGAATTTTTAATTCATCAATTTATATGGAGCTTTGAATCTAGGGGTTTTCGATGTCACTGATTACGAATTAGATGTCATGTTTTCAATATTTAAAATGTCGCATTTAAAGATAATGGATAAATTTTAGAAACTGTATTAGGTCTTTAATAATTTTTAAATACGAAACCAACTTACACTTTGCGTGACCCAGAACTAACGACGTGGATTTAGTAAGCCACTAGTTCCAAGCTACATTGGATTTATAATCAGCTACCACAAAAACCCCTACATACCAAGTTTCATAAAAATCCAACGAATTTTAAATTTTAGGTCCGCCATATTAGATCCGCCATTTTAAATTTTTAAAATCTGACTTAAAATTCGTAATCAGCAAACCCGAAAACCCCTAGATACGAAGTTCCATGAAAATCCATCAAATTTTAAATTTTCGGTCTGCCATATTGGATCCGCCATTTTGAATTTTTAAAATCTGACTTAAAATTCGTAATCAGCGACCCCGAAAACCCCTAGATACCAAGTTTCATAAAAATTCACCAAATTTTAAAATTCCGGTCCGCCATATTGGATCCGCCATTTTGAATTTTTGAAATCTGACATCAGATTCGTAATCAGGGACCCCGAAAACGCCTAGGTACCAAGTGTCATGAATTTTGAATGGAAAAAAAAATTTGGACGTTAAAGGGTTATCAGGAACGAAGTATAAATCAAAGTATGACCATTGGTGAATCAGTTACGTAAATTCCACAAGTTACGTTCGTTACGTAACTTACGTAAGTTTAGTTTCGTTTAGATTTCACAGTCATAATTAAGAAACAGCAATGAAATGTTGTATTGTGTTAACCCGTGATCGTCTTTCTCTTCTCTTTCCGTTAAGGTTTAAGCAGAACTGATTCGTGAATGTCGTTCGCGAACGCAAAGTATGAATTAGAGAAAAATAGAGATATGTTTGCGTCCTTCTCTATATCGATAAATTGATTCAATCGATGGTCTTGTGATAAGATGTATGTTTTCTTCGCTTTGTGTCACGCGCTTGCTATTTTCTTTATTATTGGCGGTTATTCTGAACAAAAAGTATTATAAATTGTTAATTTACAAAATGAGTGACAGTGAAAGTGAAACGAGTTGCACTCCACCAGATATAACATCACCTGCAACAAGTGTCGCTGGTGACTTATTGCCAAAAAACAAAAGGAAAGTACGAAGCGACTTACACAAACTTCAATAAATGGAAATCGTCTCAAAAAATTTCTTCGTCATTCGAAAGCGGATGTTCAAAAGTACATTGAATATGAAAGAGAAAATTAACATTGGGAGTTATAAAAAACTTAAAGCTTTTTTGAAGAAACAATCCGTCGGATTTGAAAGTAAGAAAGCAAAGGTTCTAACCTCAGAACAAATAGAAAGATTTTTAAACGAAGCACCAGATGTTCAATATTTAGTTTTAAAAGTAAGTTGAATTAATTAATACTTAATATTTTTTATTACTTATTGTCACTAAAATTACAATTTTATTATTATTTTTTTATTTTAATTATTTATTTATTATTTTATAATTAATTACTGAAAAGGAAGGATGGAGACATTTTATTAGTGAAATTAGAGAACACAAAAACCAACACAACTAAGTCTTTTACAATCGACGGTGATTTTTGTCGAATTGTCGACAAATATAAAAACTTACGTAACGAAAATGCTCCTTCCAATAGGTTCTTTCAAAATTATCAAAAAGGAAAATGTACGGCCCAAGTAATAGGCAAAAGAATCTTGAAATGTATAGAATAAATTTTTAAATTATGTAAATAAGATGCATTAATAGAACAAAAATAATATATACTTACACTACCGTCCAAAAGTATCAGGACGATTACATTTGACTCTATGAAAAAACACGCTATCACTTTTTCAATCATATCTCGGAAATAAAAGGAGGTACAAAAAAAATTAAATACGGTTAGAAAGCTAATTAAATTCTGCGTAAAATAAGCCGTCTTTGAATTCATTTTGTTAATTATTTTTTAAGTTGTCGAGTGAGAAAGAAATAAAAAAAATATCATATTTTCTCATTTTTGTCTCTTGACTTCAACTTTTTCAAAAATCTAAAAAAATTTAAATGAAATTTTTCTAGAAACACAGAAATCTTCGTTAGAATTTCAGCTTTAAAATAAGCCTTCGAAAATTAAAAAAGGTTAATCCGTCTTTGATGTTTAATTAAAAATGTAGAGCCGTGTTTCGACCGATTGGTGCATTGAAATTCAACAGTGACGACTCGATTGTGGCTTCGCGCGGCAGCGAATGAGAGAGAAAACAGGAATGAATTCATGCGCGGAAACGACGAACTTTTGAGTTTTTTTATATTACTCGTGAAACATAATTATTTATTATTCTCCAGCAAAAATTCGTCCCTGTTTTCTCTCTCATTCGCTGCCGCGCGAAGCCAGAATCGAATCGTCACCGTTTAATTTCAATGCACCAATCGGTCGAAACACAGCTTCACATTTTTAATGATATATCGAAGACAGATTAACCTTTTTTGATTTTCGAAGGCTTATTTTAAAGCTGAAATTGTAACAAAGATTTCTGTGTTTTTAGAAAAATTTTATCTAAATTTTTCTAGATTTTTGAAAAAGTTGAAGTCAAGAGACAAAAATGAGAAAATTTGATAAATTTTTTTATTTCTTTCTTACTCTACAACTTAAAAAATAATTAACGAAATGACTTCAAAGACGGCTTATTTTACGCAGAATTTAATCAGCTTTCTAACACCAAATTTAATGAGAAATATGACAAATTACTCCTTAGATAGTATATTTTGTATGACCATACAATTTTAATTTTTTTAAAGACATAATCTTAAACATAAATGCAATTCTTCAACATTGATTTTTGTTTAAAATAGCTTAGATTAAGCATGTTGACTGTGTTTTTTTTATTTTATTAAATATAAATGAGATGTTTTAAAGAGGTAGATTTACAGGGCTCGAAAGTTTTACTTGCAACGCGTTAAACTCGTTTTACGCTTTTTGTTAGTTGTGAAAACTATATTAATCGAATTTAAGTATAGAAATTCCTTTTCAGACGCGAACCAATTAGAGAACTTCACTACTAAAAGTGGCCAAGAGTCAATTTATTTATTTTACTCAAATGATTTTTTTCTTATTTTAAAGATATGCTAGTATGTAAGGAATAATTTTCAGAAACATTTAAAGAGAAGTTTTAGGCTGTTGGATCCCTACATGTATAAAATAGCTTAAAGTGAGATATTTACAGATAAACATAGTTTGTTAAATATTTAAAAATAATTATATGATCCAATATGGCGGACATAAAATTAAAAAAATTATTTTAATTTCATGAAACTTTATATCAGGGGATTTTCGGAGTGGCTGATTACGAATATGAAGTCAGATTTAAAAAATTAAAAATGGCAGATTTATTTATTTTAATTTTATGCTTCGAAGCATAATAACAAATAAATAAATATGCCATTTTCAATTTTTTTAATGTGACTTTACTTTCGTAATCAGCGACTCCGAAAACCCCTGATATCGAGTTTTATTAAAATTGAAAAAAAATTTAATTTAATGTCTGACATATTAAATACGCCATTTTGAATTTTAAAATCTTACTTCATATTCGTAATCAGCGACTTCGAAAACGCCCTAATATAATGTTATATGAAAATTAAATAATTTTTTTAACCCTCCGTCACACACATAAGAAAAAATTACGACTTTAAGTTGAGTCTACATTGGATGAACGCGAACGTTGCCGTGCTGACGTCACCCATTTGAATAGCATGGGTGACGTCAGACGTTCGCGTACACGTTCACGTTCGCGTACCATGGAATGTAGACTCTACTTTACACACGTTTAGAGGGAATCCCTCACCACATTGTAAAATAAGCAACATTACAACATAAACAAAGGAATCAACAAAAATTTAGTTTTAACACAAACTTACAAATATGTAGTAAATTATTCTAAATTATAAAATTAATTTTCGGTCTAAAAAATAAAAATTAATAACACGAATGCACATCTTCGAAGGAATTCCACTGGACATGTAAAAATAATGTAACATTAACAATTCATTTTAATTATATTTATAATATAATTTTGTCATTAACCAACAGCGGAACAAAAAATGTTTTGAAAACTTGATTTTTTTATTTAACATAACCTCACTTTTTCGAGTTTTTTCTGGCTTTGAAGCTTCATAATTAAATATTAATTATGTTTAAACTAAATGTTTTTTTAGAAATATGTTGAGGAGTAAATTGTCGAAAGGTATAGAAACTGATTTTATTTTGCAATGAGAAAAACAAAAGTTATTTAAAAAATACTGAAACCGTAGAGGGAATCCCTCCCTAGGTGTGTGACGGAGGGTTAATTTGATGTCCGCCATGTTGGATCTGCCATTTTGAATGTTTTTATAATCTGGCTACATATTCGTAATTAGCAACCCCTAAAACCCCCTTGATATCAAGTTTTATAAAAATTGAATAATTTTTTTAATTTGATGTCTGCCATATTGGATCAGACATTTTTAATTTTTTAAATCTGACTCAGGGTGGCCACTAAAAGTTACAAAAAAAATTCCAGGCTAATTCCCGGTTTTCCAGGCTAATATATATTTTTTCCCGGTTAGTTACACAGGCCTGGAAAATTAGTTTCTTGTGTTGTTTTGTCCACTGAACAAGATCCTAGGTCCTAAAATTGCCCATCACGTCAGGATTTTAAGAAAAGTGGGGTAAAGACTTCAAAAATCGTGTTTTGAGGGTTTTCAGTATTTTTTTCTCTTTAACCTGACGCGCTTGAAATCTCTACATATAGGGTAAACGCACCATTACTGCGATTGCTCCAATTACTGGGATTTTTGGGAAAATACTATTATTTACTATTATAGAATAATATAATATTTGAATAAGTTTGAAAAAATTATTTTCGACTTTAATAAAATTCTTTCGTAAAAAGTAATTGGTGGCCCTGAAGAGGGCCGTATATTCTCAATCATCCATTCTTTTAATGCCATACCCGACTAACAAGTTTTAGGACAATTGGATCGATTTTCAAAAAAGTCGTCCGTCATATTGGGTACATTTTGAAAATCTGACATTGGATTCGTAATTTTTGTCGTGAGTTTTATAGTGTAGGATTTAAGCTTTAAGGAAAATCCGAGGGGTGAACAACTTCGATATTCCTCGTACACGCGGTAGATATTCACACGTATTCTACGGGTATTCTCATATTTTCCAGCATATATTCAATATTCTCAGTATTAACTGATATTTTTTAATATTTCCATATATTCCTAAGTAATCTCGAATATTTTGACATATTCTATAATATTAACAGTCAGTACCAACAGTATCAGGAAATCTGTAACATATTTTTACATTTGTCATTTTTAATTTATACACGTAAAAGCTACGGAAATTCAAAATTCTCTGCTCTTTCAATACTCAAATGAAAAGACAGAGTCAATTATTGCAAGGAAAGATGCAATACATGAGGACGATTGGTGTGCGTTTCCATCAATAAACAAAGTCCTTATTAATTGGTAACAGGGTGGCAACATGTCAGTAAAGTCAGGGAAATGTCAGGAAAACAACATTTTTGTCAATAAAGTCAGGGAAATGACAAGAAAAGAAATTTTTGGTCAGGGAAATTAAGAAAATTTATATTTTTTTCGAATTACTTTCAAGATTTTAAAAACTTTTCTTCAAAATATTGCAACAAAATACCACATTTTTTAGTATAAAAATGTATCTCATTTCGATTTTTATAGTGCGAAAAATAACTACGAACAAATCTTTCAAAGATTATTTTTGAATCATTTTTCTATTTAAATTTCCGAAATATACAATTAAAAATTTTTTGAAATAATTGAAACTTTGTAAAATTTAATTGAAAACAATTAATTTTTTTAAAGTATTTTATTACATTTTTCGAAAATCAACTTTTGAAGATTGCAAATTTTGAAAATAATATTGAATTATCAAAAGAGTTAATGAAAAATCTGTAAATGTAAATTTAAAAATAAATTTAGCTTCTAATATTTCAATAATTTTTTTAAAATTCAATATTTTCAGTATTTTTAATTATGTATTTCCAAAAATTCAAATATATACAAAAAATTATAAAATTTTAGAATTAGAATTTTAGAATTACTTGTGACAATTGTCACAAGACTGA